GAAAGAAAAATTATAAAACTTAATTGTTTGAAGAGTGCCAGAATAAACATTTCTTTATGTTGATAAAAAATAAAGGAAAGAAAAGGAGTTCTTCAAGGAAAGCCTAGTATACTGCAAGGACTTATACAAAGTTTGTAAACACTCCTGTTTCTAGTCTCTTTCCCTTTACATTCTAGTTACCGTAAAAGTCAGCACCATGCTATTTGGAATACTTTACTTCCTTAGCCATTTCATTTCCTTATACATGTAAAACGTCTAGGGAACAGAGACTATGACTTATGTTTTTTTTTCCAGTGTTTTTAAAAGGGCCTCTTCCCATAAAGCAGTCTACAGACAAATATTATCATTTCATTTACTGAATTTAAGTTAGAGTAGCATGTTACTGTGCCTTTATCTTTAACAGTTTTATTTATGTAATGATCTTTTAACAATAAATACAGCGTGATCTACACAAATGTATAAATATTAATTATACAAACTCACAAGACCAGGGTAAAGGAAACACTATCTCTTAAAGTAGATTGATTTCTGAGTTTTAATTTTGATTTTTTTTAAATCTTTGGTGAACAAAGATATTAATATGGTGATTAGGGATGTAAATAATCCATCATATGCAAAGTTACAAAGCTAGCTGGTGGCTTCATAAAAGCCATAAAAACTTATAAGTAAACTTAGAGCCAGCATGGTGCCTTTAATCCCTGTACTCAGGGAGGCAGAGGCAGGCATATTGCTTTGAGTTCAAGGCTAGCATAGTTCTACAAAGCTTTCTAGGACAGCCAAGGCTACAGAGAAACCCTGACTCACCTCCCCCACAAAATAAACCAAAACAAATGAGAGAGGGAGAGAGAGAGAGAGAGAGAGAGAGAGAGAGAGAGAGAGAGAACTTAGGGATTAACCATGATTTAAACAGGGTAACATGACCATATTTATTTTTCAGTGTCTGTAGAGAAAATAGTACCATTTACTTTTTATTCTTAAAAAAGAAAAAAAAAAGGCTTGTTGGAGTTAAAAGTACTTTAGCAGAAATGAACTCATTTAATTTTTCTGATTCTCTGGGGGAAAGTTTTGGAGAACATATTAATTCTATGTTATAAATTAAGACAGTGTCCAGGGGGTTGAAATTGGAAGGACAAAAGACTTCTTAACAAAATTGGTGGTTAAAATCCAAATCCCACACTGGAAGCCTGTATCGGTCCACTGGGCAACATATCACATTTACAAGTATTGTCTGTTGTAAAAATAAAGTTTAGCTTAAAAAACATCCCATTCATATTTTATAAGCCAGCTCTCTACTGAACTGCTCAGAGCAATGGACAGAAGGGAAGTGAAGAAAGAATCTGGACAATTTCATGTTGAAATGATTTTGTTGCTTTGAACCATAGGATGATAGAGCATCAGAAGCCAGGAACCGTTTCAGTTCCTCTTTCCTCTTTCTGTAATCTGGAATAGTAACTAATACTTTTTTTTTTATAAATCTTAAATTTATCTGAAGAGAGAAGAGTAATATAAAAGAGGAGAACCAATGCTCAAATCCAGATCTAGTCCCCACGGGCAAATCCATGTCGCCATCAAACCTCTCCTATGAGAACTATTTAACTGTATTATGGCTATTCCATTTGGTATACCTTGTTCTAAGCAGAGGGAGCAAAGATATTTGCTGTAAAGTCCAATTCAACTCCCAAGAAGACAAAGGTGGATTAGGTGCCCAGAGAGATTCCTTGGAAACTTCTGTGCTTGTGGTGCCTCTGAGTCATGTCTTTGGTCAAGGATAAAGTTGACTTTGAATAATGCGGCTCATGCTTCAGCAATGTTTTTGCTCTGGGCAGATGGGCCATATGGAAACTATGAACTGGCTTCATAGACAGGACCTCAGTGAGCCAATGGAACATTTTTATGCTTTCCGTTTTTATTCAAGTGCTTTAGTGAACAATACATTACCATAGGATATACATATTATGTGACTTTTTAAAAATTCTGAGTTATTATTTTATCATTATAGATAATTTTAATATAAGATGGTTTTATCAAAAAAGTTTTTCATTTAACAAGGCTTGATCTGTTTTTATGATACATGTAAGTACTCTGATTCTTTTATTTGTTTGCTCTGTTTGTTTGAGACAGTTTTTCTGTGTAGTCTTGGGCTTGCTTTATAGACCAGGCTGGCCTTGAACTCATAGAGATTAGCCTGTCTCTACCTCCTCAAGTTTTGGGATTATAGGTATGCACCACCATGTCAGGCTAAGTACTCCTATTCATAAATGAAGGCACTGGTTTATTTTGATGCCTCAATCAAGTTGCACTCTAAAAAATAAGGGAGAACTGAAATCAAAGATATTAAAGATTTTCTCTATAAAAAGGAAAGTAATAAACAAAAAGTCCTTAAAAATATTTTTGTTAAAACAAAAGGGAAAGAAGGAAAGAAAGGTAATTTTCTAAGAATTAAAAGATAAGCCTGATTCACCAGACAATTGGTTTGAGTGGTGGGAAGTGTTCATTCTCAGTTTGCTAATTCAATAATTACTACAGATGTAACAAGCTTTTCACTTCAAGATTTACCAAGAAAAACAGAAGTACTTTTTCTTTTCCTGGATAGTACTTAAAGTTTAATGAGACACTGTGTGGGTGAATAAAACTCACAGCTGTTGGCATGGTACCAAAATGGAAGAGATGAACGGCACTCATGCAGTTGTGTGTTTTGTGTAGGATAAGGGAGGGCTGAGAATAGGTGAAATTAATATGTGGAAAAATAACTGCATTGGTTCCTTAGAGGTATTCAGAAACTATAGTATGCACCCATGCAGCCTGTAAATCTTTGCAAAGGCTGTGATAAGGAATAATCGCATTTCATCATTGTCATTAAAACATAGTGGCCTTAGATGTTCTTCTACAGAGGTCAAAATGCAAGACATAGATAATAGGGAAGTTGAATTGATTAAAATGGGGAAATTTTAAAGAAATATAATTTACGTATATTTTTTTCAAGGAGATTTATTAAAACACAAAGATATTTTATGCCTAAGATTACACTGTTTTCCAGTAAAATAAATGAACCTCACATCTTACAGGTTGTAATTCTTTGCATCTCCATTTTCCATGTGATAGAAGCTCTTATAGGAGGCTATAAAATGTTCTCATCTCCACTCACCATGATAAATATGTGGGGTGGGTTCTCATATTGTGAGGTTTTTTATAGCAAATCAGCAGGACTGAAGGCTAAAACTGAAAACTGGCCATATGCAGACACAACTGAATAATTCTTATGATTACAACTAATTTTAACATTAAGAGTGATCTTAATTAATATACCTAACGTAGTATCATACACATATAAAGCAAACTGGCTTTCCTTATACTTGGCCATTTTTATCTTGCTTTTTAAAAAAGCTTAATGAGACTCCTACATAAAAACTTTACTAGCTGAGTATCTAAGATTAAAATTCTATGCTTCACTCTAAGACATGATTTGCCTTGGTAAATGGTCTCCATTGATAAAATCCACCACACATCCTCCCACAACATGAGCTGTCTTGGCACTGCTGCTTCTTAAGAAGACTATTTTCTTCTTCTTTTCTTCTTCTTCTTCTTCTTCTTCTTCTTCTTCTTCTTCTTCTTCTTCTTCTTCTTCTTCTTC